TGCCGCCCCCCCCCCCCTCCCCATTCCCACCCCCCAAAAATATAAATAATAATAATGATAATGTTTGACATACAGACTAACACTCCATTGCTTGGAACCAAAATATGTTGGAAACGTTTTTTAAGATAAACATTATTGATCATTCAAACCAAAATAAGAGTAAAATTTTATGTTATAGAAATTTCCATAAATGTCTTGTAAAATTTTGTTAAAGAAATCTGGTTATCTTCTTTTATTGCTTCGACTGAGTTTCCACCAATACACTGTAACATGTTTCTGTGTTGTACTTTAAGTTAATGAAAGACTGCAAATTTAGAAAAAATGATATTGTAGGGAGAAAAAACGAGCATTTATTGCACATAATTAAGTGTTTTTTTTTCTTGCAATAGGATCCATTTTTTAGTTATTTACAATCACGCATTGCTTTAAAGATAATATACTTTTTCTTTTAGTTCTGTTGCTACTTTGCTGTAGATATTTTTTTGCTAAGTTTTTTCTCTGATTTGGCAGTTTGTCATCAAAGGCCTATTTGGTTGATAAAGACTGCCAACAAGCGGGCACGTCAGAGCAGTGCTCTTTCACAGAATTACTGTTAAGTAAGGGTTAGTTTACATGTACAATTTTACTAGAATGTCACTTCTTTTTTTGCATTATTACAGCGAATTTCAAACAGAAAGCACAAATTGTGCATTTGAAGGGTCGTAACATTTGTGAAATTTTATTCTCTGCTTCCTTTTTTTGCTTTGCTCAGAGGACAAGCGGTCCTTTTCTTACTTCATTACAGCTTGTTAATAGATGTAAATGGCTTTTAACGCGGGGTGTGGCATTGGTTCAATCATCAAAAGAAATGGAATTGGAAACTAGGCATAAGTTTGTGGCACTCCAGTTAACTCTAGGCGGGTAATCCCCAGACATTTGGTTCTTGTTTTCTTCACCAAAATGGGAGGCGAAGTTTTGAACAATCATACGAACCTTTTGATTACACACAGGAGACAGGCTGTTTTTTATGTTGCTGTGTACTTCATAGATGCAAAGTGAATTTGAAAAAATATATAAAATTATAAGTATTCTGAGATTTTGAGTTTTTCTCTTAATTTTTATTGCAAATTAAATGTTTTCCTTTAAGTGTTATTCATATGTTATATTTAAATATGTTACTCTTTTAGTTAGTTTTTTTCCCTTAGTAATGAAAATGTATTTTCAGTTACATTTTTTTTTATGTAAAAGAAATTTTAAAAATTCCAACCAAGGGTAATGAAAGAAGTTGGGGGTAAAGCTATATCAGAAAATATATTACTACAAGAGATACATAATATATTTTATATATTTACTCTTTTAATTGTATTATTAAAAAAAAAGGGATTGACAAAGGAAATTGTCTGAGAAAATGTGACTAGAAGAGGTCTTTTTAGTTTCTACCCTATAATTGTGTAAGTGGAGAAAAGGAAGTGGATGTGAGGAATCAATTCACTGTTCTTACAACATGTAACTAGAGAAAAGGAAGTCCGTGGCCACGGTCAGTGCACGTTTTCATTCTCCTGGCATGGAGCTTTTAAAATGCAGGTGCAATTTCAAACTGTTTATTTTAGACTGCAGATTTTATCTGAATAGTTGAATGGGGAACTGTTACTTCTGTCCTGTCGTGTGCTCCGCGTGAGCTGTTGACTACCACTTAGACAGGTGGCATGGCAGCTGCACAAATTGCCATAAAAAAAGGAAAAAATTACATCTTAGTTAAATTGGTGGGTGGTGAACTTTTGATACTACCTTTTATCCAGTATTTTTTAAGGCTTCTTTTTTTCAGGAAATTGCCGTCAGATTTTGAGCCAAATACAACTTTTAGTGAAATATGCAATGAAAAATCTCATTTCAATGAAAAAATAGTTGAAAATTTTGTTGAGTTGGTAGCCATTTTTTGCATGCAGTCATTTTTAGTAATCTGAACTCCCAATCTTGGAAGTCATCCATATCGCAATAACTTGGATAGGTGCAGATGAAGGCTGTTTAAATGGTGACACTTATTTTATGGATCAGTTGCTGTAATTGTAACCTAAATTATGGCGTGATATGGTTGCAAGTTGATGAGAACTCTGCCTGTTATTAATGAATGACTGGCAAAATTTTTTGTCTGTAGAAATAGCTTTGGAACATAACACTGCTGTCTGCTGATATCACTCATCAAAACAACTAGGGCAAATATCATTAGTTTATCGTTATATAAAACTAAAAATTTATACTTTCCTTCACTCACTTTTGTTGGAAAAAAATAATTCCTCGTGTCATTGAAATTTATATTTTGATCTGTAAGATTACTATGTGGAAATGAATAGATCTATTATGAACTGGCTACTGTTTCTTAACTTTATCTTTGATAACCAAAAACATGATATGAGAAATGATCCAAGTAAGCCACATCTTTTTTTTGAAAATTCTAGTATGCAGGTATCAACATTGGTCCTATACACAAGAGAGACATCATGAAGGCATCTGCCATGTTGGATCACGATAGTCAGTAAGTGGAAAACAATCACAGTCATATTATATTGGCATAATATCACTATTGTTTTAGTTGAAATCAGTTTATGAATATGAAAAGTTCCATAAATTTGATAGTGATTGGCTGGTTGGTTCGAGAAATGCCAGCATCACAGCCAAAATGCCTTTTTAAGAGATTGATTTTTATTGAAAATTGCATTAAGCTAATATGGCCTTTGGCTTGTAGGGCTGAAATTCTGGTAATGATTTTTTCAAGTATAATTCAGGAGAAGCATAATAACTTTTTTATATAAGTGTTATTAATTGTTATTTATTTATTTACTTATTTCAGATATGCAGTAGTTTTAGCATTTGATGTTAAAGTGGACAGAGATGCACAAGAGATGGCAGACAGTCTGGGTGTGAAAATCTTCTCTGCAGACATCATCTACCATTTGTTTGATCAGTTCATGGCCTACAGAGAAGAACTGAAAAAGAAGAAACAAGATGAGTTCAAACATATAGCTGTGTTCCCCTGTAAACTCAGGATTTTACCGCAGTTTGTATTCAACAGTCGCGACCCTATTGTGTGTGGAGTCCAGATCGAGGCTGGTTTTATTAAAGAGGGGACACCATTATGTGTACCTAGCAAAGAAGTAAGTTTACGAAATCAATGTTGTAGTCCATCCTAATTTTTCTTGCAATTTAAGAAAGTTTAGACATTTTTCTTTCAAAAAGTTACAGATATTTTTTCTTTCTTTTCTTTTCTTCTTACTTTCCAATGTGCAGTATGTGAAGTATTATCCAGAACCATTGCAGGCTTACTGCAATTTGTATGACAAGCATTGCTTAAGAATCCCGACTTTTAACTCGTTTAACTCGTTTAGTTTTTCCAAATAATGGACTTAACAAATCTACAAAGATGACACATTGCATTCTCTTCCCTACCACTGGTACTGGCCACTGATGTTTCACCTCATTTTACACTAAAAAAACTTGTCCTGTCAGTGGACAAGTGCAACATCAGTTATCAACCCACAGGAGGACTTTGTCACCATAGTCCTTCAAGATTTGTGATGATTGAGGTCCAGTCATAGATTCAAACAATATTTAACATTAGTGTTTTAATCCAGCACACACATGCACATAGCCTTCTCCAAGAGTTCTAATATCTGTAAGCTTTATGCATATGTGGAACATAATATATAGAGAATATTTTTAATTATCTCTACTGGGAGCAGATACTTTGTTATATATATGGCTACATTGATATAATTTGGTTAGAGCAGGGTTTAAAGGGAAATTCCAACAGCTGATACTATTAATGCTACTGAAGTTAATGTACAATAGCTGTATGGAATGCCTTAGTCAAGGGAGAAAGGAAAGGAGGGAGCATTTCTGCAATTATCACAAGTAAAATGAAGATGTTTGAAGGAAGTTCTTGTTTTAAGTAAATTCCTCGCTTTGACCCCCAGGTTGCTCCATCCGACCAACATAAATGCTCTCTTTGAAAACGTTGTGGTTAGGAATTCTTCAACCTTTCCCCATTTCCTGGTGCCTTGTTTTCCCTGGCATGGTTCATTAGGTGCACTCTGTTAGTTTATGGACCAAATCATGCCATCTCTGCATTGAAGGTAGCTTCTGCATAGGTGGTTTCCCCTAGGTTTTGGCAACTTCTCTGTTTTTTTTTTTTTTTTTTTTTGTTTTGTTTTTTTTTTTTGTAATTCTGTGATCTTAGTTACTTAATGAAGTTATGCCCCTGTTTAAATATTACTGACTTGGAGTTATTGCATTCTTAGAGTTGGAGTCACTATGATGGTTTTCTTCATTGGTTTCAATGCTTTATTGAGATGGCCATGGATGCATGGTTGCTGAAAGAAAAAAGGGAGCAGTACAATCAAATGTTAACATTGCAGGGGCGGATTTAGGCCGTCTTCTGGGTCTTCCGGAAGACGGTCAGATTTTCAAGTTTACATTGACGGGTATCTAAAGTTTTCTGTCGGAAGACGGTCAAAATAGAGGATGGATCAACAAAGATAATTTGGAAGACTGTCAGAAAATATCCTGGATCCGCCCCTGCATTGCATAAGAAAAAAGCAATTTTGCAAAAATGGAAAAGTAATTATTTTATGCATGTGCTATGTCTTTCATTCTTGCAATTACTTCCTGATGCAAAGGTGTGCATTCTTTTGTTTGTGGGTGAGCATTCTCTCACAAGGTTGTTAATATGCTTCTTGCCATATTAGCAAGTGACTGTAAACACTTACATCGTGAAGTGTGTCCAAAGGATGGGGAAATGACCATTTAAACAGACAGCTGTATTACTGAAAAATCACAGTGTATCTGGGACAGTGGGAGTCCAGGCAATCAACCATTTTGGTCCTCTGATGACCAACGAGTCCAATTTTCTGGGTCAGAGTTATCCGTGCGTTTGCGAGGGCTCTGTTGTTGTTTCCCGCTGACCCAGGGGGAAATGTATTCCTTCTCCAGACATGACGTTTGATTGGACGATGTTGTGCACTACGCCATTCACTGCAGAGCAAGGGTAGGCTGCATGAGGAGGTGGTTTGGACATCTGGTTCTTATGCTTCAGCTGATAAAAGAAAATTTCTATTAATTATCAGGTCAGATTAGACAAATAAGTTTTGTTTTCTTATCCAATCAATGTAAATTGAAGCAGCCTATCTAAACTACAGGCAGAAAAGGATTGTTTGAATATAAAAAAGGCTTTTTAAATCTCCTTTTCTCAAATGCAGCTAATTCAGTAAAAAAAAAGCTAGTCTGTACCCCAAGTCCATTTCTCTCCATCTCTCTCTCTTTCTCTCTCTCTCTCTCTCTCTCTCTCTCTCTTTCTGAAACGGGAAATTAGTAATTGGCGGAGAACTTCTTTTTTCATCTGTTTTCAGTGATTTTTTTTTTCTCTTTTTGCTAGAATTTCACATGGAACACTTCTTGTTTTTTTTTTCTCCCCAGCCAGCTGGTACTTTTAACCAGTAAACAAGAAACTACACGTAAGGTTGCTAACCTTACACAACTGATTAGCCAAATGTTGCAATGCACCGTAAACTTTTTCCTTTCACCAACAGAAAATATCACCACTGAAACTTAAACCAAGAGCAAAGAATTTTCCATGGAGTTATTACAAATCTTTCCAAATTCCTGTTGATTTTTTCCTCCATAAGCCATAAAAAAAAAGCACCATGGCAGAAACCCAAACTGACTGCAAGGGATGTCTCACTGATGGTTTCTGGTTGTAATTCTTCCATTCATTGACTAATGTTAGTGTAGGTACATGCTTAACTGAATTGAAGTCATGTGTTTTGCTTGTTTCCAACTCGTCGGCTGCAGTGGTGGCCACAAAATGTTTTCACTTGGATTTCCTGTTTCTTGGGGTGCTGGTGGCTTAATATTTTCGTTTTCTTAACAGGATAACTTTTTTCTTCTCTATTTATGTCCTTTTTTCCTGGACAAATATTGAAATAATGTGGTTTCTGTACGTCGAGTATATAGTTTTTTAAAATAGGAAGTTTAAACAGTTTTTTTTTCCTATTTATAAAACAGTCGTGCCCCCCTCCATGCACAAATGTTTACTTCTGGACTTTTCCACCCAGTTGTTGCCATGCCCCTGTCTGTGTGTTTGTGTTGCTAGCAAGCACAGGAAATAACAAATTCTCATGTAATGCTGGTACAGGACAGTAAATCATAACCATTGCCTCTGTGTCGGGTGATGAACTTATTTGACAATCCAGGGAAGTTTGATACAATGTTACAAATATTTCTTCTTTGTTTTATCCTCAATTGATGAGACTTAAACAGGAATTGTTGTGCCACAGGTAACGAGATGTCAGTAAAGTTATTGCAGGTGACTGTAACAATGTTTGAAATGTATATTTTTAAATTTTACATTTCTTTGACACTGATTTTGTTTTCATACCTCACTATTGACCACCTTAGCAGACTTTTATTCTCCTTCTTATTACTAGTTTTACGCCAAATCATTATGAAAGTAGCCCCCAAAAATATATTTTATGTATTTTGCAGCCCACTATATTTTTATCAGCTTCAGTGAAAAGCCATACGCATTTGGCAGAAGTATCATAAATATTGCACATGCACACACACACACACTCAAAAATGCCAGCATGAGTCTATCTAAATTCACCTGGTCACATATGTAGTATGTTACATCGCATGGTTACCAACTCAAACCATTGGAGTGTATTCTGGACAATATGACCACTTATCTTGTAGATTTATTTAATTGCTCAGGTTTATTTAACCTTTACTATTACAAAATTACACAACTATTCAAACTATATCTCATGTTGGATATATTATCCATGGCCTTAGCTCACAAAGAAGTGACTTCTGATTCTGGTTTACATTATTTTTAAGCATCTAGTCAAGCCAAAAAGTATGTATACATATTTGAAAAATTTAAAGTTATAAAGAGTTAGAATTACAAAGTTTTTTTTACCGTTTCAGTTCCTAGAGGTAGGTCGCATCTCCAGTATAGAATACAATCACAAGCCAGTAGAGAGTGCTAGGAAAGGACAGGAAGTTTGCATCAAGATAGAGAACATCCCAGGAGAAACTCCCAAACTTTTTGGGAGACATTTTGATGAAACCGACTTACTAGTCAGCAAGGTAAGTAGGCAATATCATGAAGATGGGTTTAAGATTTATCCATCAAGATGACAAAAAATGGATTCTTCAGTTTTGTTTAGTGCTGGTGATATTGGTCTGAATCTGTTGCTTTTGAATTATGTCAAAATCATTTGAAATATTTAATCTTAAGAGTTCCTCAGCCGTGGATGTTGAATATGACATAAACATGCTTTTTTTTTTTATAAAAGAATGAGAATTTATTGATTCATGTGCCAACTTTGTATGACATGCAAGTCATGGGCAAGTGTCGGTCAGAGAAGATGAAAGTGTCAAGATGTATTCATAGAGTGGGTGTTACCTAGGCGCCCCACTGAGCTTCAGAGCTTCATTTCTTGTGAATTCATTTGGTTGCCTGGTGGCACATTTTACCTGTATAAAAAGTCCTGTCTGAAATCTCCTCTGAACACTGCCATTGATGATTTGATTCCTTATCAAACATGTTTCAAATTACAGTGTCACTCTTTTTCATTTTATGCATCCATTTCAGCTTAATTTGAAATTTGGTAAGCTTTTTACTAATATCCGGAACATTGGTCTCAGCTTAGCGGACATATTTTGATCATTTTCTTTGACAAAAGGGTAAATGGTTCTTCAGTTTCAGGGTACATGTGAGATTTTCTTTGGCAACTCTTCCATGCCAAGAAGTTGTAGTTTCCAGATGGTAGATTTCCCAGCAATATTAAGATGATACTCTTTTGCGTCACTGATAACAAGATGGCCGCCTACAAAATAAGCTCATCCTGTTGACCCAAGATTTCTCCTGTGTTTTTGTGGCACCTTGTTGTCTTTTGTAGGTGGTTCTTTGCTTTAGGGCAAGCCAGGGTGGAAAATTGAGTTACCCAGGTTGTTGTGCCAGTGTGGCATCTTGATTTCTTTCCTTACTTTTTCTCTTAAAAAAATGTTTGAATATTACACGATTATATAAGAAATGTTTTAAGACTTACTGCATTTTGGTTCCAAGTTGTTTATCTCCACCTGCAAAACCAGGTGAGATTGTTGCCATTCCTCAGAAAAAGTGCGAATTAAAACATTCAAGGTGATTCTCTTATTGGACAAAAAAAAAAGAAGGTTACCTTCTCTAAGTCAACAACACAGAAATCTGACCAGCAATTAAAGGGAAATGCTACGCAAACACCAAAAATTAGAAAGTGTTTTTTTGAGATGGAATAAACCAGCTGTAATGGCAGGAGACCAATTTCAAGACTGCAAGACATTAATGTAACCCTGACCAGCTCTGACCAGTGATAGAAATAAAGAAAGGGATTAAAACCCTGTTCAAAGCCAGTCTAACTTACCAGGAGACCAGTTTTGACACTGTTAAGCACTGTTGCTGCCTGGTGACATCATTTGACCTTTTTTTCATGTTCTAAGTTAATCCTCTCGTGAACACGGACGTAGGTGAACAGTTGTACTTTTCAAAATAGGAAATTCTCAGCACATTGCAATTGGTCTCCATGAAGCCAATTACCAAGTAGCACGTTTTGGGGATTTTTCCCAGAGTTTTAAAAGAAGATAACTTAACATGATTTGATAAGCTGTACAAAAAGGGGGAAACGCATGCTCCCACCTGTTACACTGGTATTGTTGTTTAGCTGCGAGAATCGGGTTTCCAATGCCTTATATAGTAATTATGGAGTGCATTAGTTCTAAATGGTTTAAAGAAAAGAATCAGCCACACATTGTATTGAATAAAATAGAGGGAAAGTAATTTTGATATTAAGGAAAAGAAATGCACAGGATTTCTCAAAGATTATATGCTTGGGTGAAGATTTCGTATTCAAGAACAACTGACACAAATTAAATGGGAAAATTGGTATTTTTGGGGGTTTGGTACATTTTTGAAAATTACACTGTTGCCTGCAGGAAACAGAAGAAAATTATGCGATGAAAGTTGTGAAAATTGACCGATTCTTTCGTACCTCTTGGTCATTAGCTTTTCCTTATTAACCAGAATTGACCATTTAAGTAACAAAATAGACAGGTTAACAAGAGCAAGCTGCCAGTGTGTGAAGTGCTATAACTCCCTGGGATGGTTCACCTGTTCTCTTGCTTGAAGCACTATCAACCTGGCATGGGAACTCGCACCTCCGTGGCCTGACCCCAACCACCTCCCACCCCAGGCCCACTTTTCACCTTAGCAGGACGGCTCAGAAATGTGTGAACAATCGACAAACAGTTCTTTTCCCAGAGGACATTTTCACAGATTGTTAACATTGTCTTGAGGTTGAGAAAAAGCAGTGGACTTCGAACACCCCCCTCGACTTATGGGGCTATCCTCCGGCTCCTTTTGTTATGTTTATCGGCCAGATGAAAGGGCTGCTCTCTTTGACGTCCAGACAAGGTGTAAAGAACATTTCCTGGACATCACGTTCACCTGTGTGAGAATGAAAAAGAAATACTTGTAAAATTTGAAGTGAGAAAGGTTTACTCTATTGCAAGTACACCAGGTAGGGCTCTGGTCAAATAGACCTAAGCTGGTATTTGTATACCCTGGAATCCAATAATAATCTGGAAATAAAATACTGATATACCTTTGAGAAAGGTTGACTCTGAAAGGTTGAAATATTATTCATCTGTTTGGTACAAAAACATGTTATAAACCAGACTGTATTTTATGCTCACGGGAGAGTTTACCTAAAGGTGGAAGAGCAGTCATATGTGAGTGTTGCACCTCACAGACCAGGTAAATGTGTCTCTAGCTGTGGCACATCCTTAAACAGGTGTCCCAGGTGCTAGGAAAAAAAGGAATAGATGTGACCTCTGCAGCAGGCACATGTGACCCCCAACAGTTGCACTCAAGACAAGGAACAGGTGCTTCACTACACATGCTGCACTGTTTACTCTCTTTACTTGCTTATAGCAAGGGACCTGTTTTTCTGCATCAGTTTTCAGTTGTTTTTTTTTTTTCTATGAAACTCTGGGTATAATTTTAAGCATTGAAGACTTTTATGTGGATGAAAGCCCCTGATCTTCCATCTTTCTAAAAATCTGACCTTTTAGTGGTCAAAATGAAGGTGGATTATTTCTTATTCCCTTTAACGTATGTGTTTGTGTTTGGCACACAAGTGAGGAGGCACATTTTAAGAACCTATGTTTTTCACATGCCTGTCAAGCTGTCGGTATAGCTAAAGCTTGCACGTCATTAAGTCACTTGAAGTCTCCTCTGGAAATGGCTTAATTAATATGTAGGCTTATTAGATGGAAAGCAAAGTGATAACAAGTTTACATGGAAAACCAAGTCAATCAAAGTAATTAGGGATGTCCGTGTTAGCAAGAGAATTGTGTCAGTTCCTGGAAATGTGGCCAATCCGTCGGCTTTCTCGTCAAAATCTTTGGCAAAACATCCTGTGCATTTCAGCCATTCTTAGCAGCCACTGCTGGGTGAGGTTTGTGGGATTGGCTGCGCAGCTTTTCATTGATGAAGAAATAACACAAGTTGTGGAGTGATCATAGCGTTTTCAAAGAAATGGAGCAAATGTCAATAATGTTGTTGGAACAAGACGAAAGATTGCCAATGTAGAAATCGAACACTCTTTCCATGAAAAGAGGAATAAGGATTTTCAAGTGATGAAAAAGACCTTGTACATGGATCAAAAAGAACAATTTTTCTTTTTTTTTTTTTATTTCAATCAGCTTTGACAACAGCAACATTAAATTTCAAATGAATTCCTATTTCATGGTATCAAACTTGCTCTGTTTTTCCAATAGATGGCATTGGATTAAGTTTATATTGCTAATGATTTTGGTATCTGTTGTTGTTTTACAGTAATGTCCACATTGTAAAAGAAAAAACAGTTAAATTTTAATATCCATGACATTATAAACAGTTACTTGACCACATGTGGTCAGCCTAACCAGGTAGTGGACACGATCACAAAGGTCACAACTTAGCTGGTTACACCTGTGATGTCACTGCCACTGTTTCAGAACTGGTTGGTCTTTTACATTGCATCTGCAGACTTCGAAAGATTGTGGTGTACAAACTACATCAACTATTGATATCTTTGGCACCACTATAATGAAATATATATATATATATATATATATATATATATATATATATATATATATATATATATATATATATATAAGTGCTACTCACATTTATAAATGGCATTCTTTTATTACCCTTGTCTCAGTATCCTAGTATTTAATGTTCTGTAAATGAACAGTAATTTTGTAAGTGCATTTCCTCTTCTTAATGTGCACTGCCTGGCCATATCTGTACCTTGTTGGTGCCTTACACTGATTTCCTCAATGAAAAGGTCATAAAAATCCCTAAGTTATATAGTTGTAGTGTGTTCATTTTCAGTGCTTTAACTGTCCAAGTTTTACTTATTATTGGACACGCGTTTTATGTTTCCAAAAGCTTTTATGTTTGTGTATTAGTGTTTTAGTAATCTATGCATATTCATGTTTGATTTCTTTCAACTTGAAGGACCATACCTTTCCATTAAGCCATTGATAATTTCAACACTAAGTACAGATACGTTGACAAGAGATGCTGCTGTGTATTGATCTATTTCTCAATTCTATATCAGCAATATTAATCAGAGTATTATAAATAAATTATATTGCAAACACATCTGTAAAGATCAACTAAGACAGATTAAAAGTCCCCGAGCTTAGGCCTGTGTGCATATCAATAATAAATATAATAGTATAATAAATAAATTATATTGCAAACTTACTTATAAAGATCAACTAAGACAGATTCAAAGTCCCCGAGCTTAGGCCTGTGTGCCTTCTTCTGGGACCAAATTAAGAATAAACAAGCACACTACTAGGATACGTAACATAGGTTATTGGTAAAAGACATGCGAAGTTAAAAGTACGTGATAAAGGTGAACGTCATGAAGATTACGTAACATAAAACAAGATTCATATTCGTTGAGGAATCCATTGTCTCTCTGATGAATCCTACACCAGTACAAGAAACACTAGCGCTATGTAAAATAATGTCATTTCATGTCTGTTCACATTTACTCCAGATAACTGTTCTACCACAGGCATTTCCCATTAACTCCATTAAAGACCAAAACAATCCATCTTGTTGCTTTTTCCAGCTCTTGGGATTTATCTGTTGTCCTCTCTCAACTCGGGAATGTTACATCAGAATTTTTTTTAATATGTGAAACAGTGATCCTTCTGTACTTTCTTTTAGGATATATTAAATCCTAAGCATGCTCAGTGACTTTTGTAAGATTACACAAAACTGGTTCATTACCTCCACCAAGGAGGTTATGTTTTGGTTCTGTTAGTCTGTCTGCCTGTCTGCCTGTCTGTTAGCAACATTACAGAAAAAGTTATGGACCGATTTTGATGAAATTTTCAGGAACTCTCAGAAGTAGGCCAAGGAACAGATGATTAGTTTTTGGTGGTGATCTGGATCATTAATCAATCAATAATCAATAATCAAAAAACTAAATCATTATAGAATGAAAATTAAGGGGTGAAACGGCAATAGGTGGAGACTTTGCTGCCTTGGTGGAGGTCTGTGCTCTCGTAGTGCTTTTCTAGTCTTATTGATATTTTCAGCTTGGCAGCATCAGACTATGCAGATATTTACCTGTCTTATATATGTGGTCTTATGTTTTTTGCCTATCTTAGATAATCAACTATCCATCCATTTACCTTACCCTGGTCTCCCCCCCCCCCCACCCCCCACTCTTCCACCTGAATAGGTGGCAAAAACAAGGTAGCCTTTGCATAGAGAAGGAAAAAAATCAGTCCAATCCTCAATTTTTCCTAATAAGACCCTGTATCCATCCTTATAATGTATAGATCTCAATCTTTAAACTGTGATTTTTTGTTCTTTCAGATCTCCAGAGAGGCCATTGACGCTGTTAAAGATTATTTCCGCGATGAAATGACAAAGACTGACTGGCAGCTGATGGTGGAACTGAAGAAAGTTTTTGGCATCTTGTAACACTCCCATACAACTGGAAAGCACGCTTTTCTTTGAAATAAAGTAAAAACTGGGGTTGTTGCTGGGGCATGAATGATGTAAGGTGAAGCTGAAGGTTTCTTGTGCAACTCTAAAGAGTGATTTGAAAACTTAATTATTTATTTTATTTAATTAATATTTATTATTTAGTTAATTATTATTATTATTTTTTTTTTTTTTGACGTCTTTATATAGGTCTTAGTTTCTTGTCATTGGAAGTGATTGATATTTTCAACAAAGAAAGAAAATTGTAAGAAAACTTATTTCTTACTGAAAGATAGCAGTCTTGAATGGACAGTCATTCATTAATTTCTTAAAAGGGTCTGCTATGCTACCTCCATCGTGGGCTTTTGTTTATCCTTACTGAGATTTGAATATTTGAAGTAAATTGTTCATTTTGTCATTTTCTATGCATGATCAATTTCCCACTGATCGAACAGCACTACTGTAATAGAAAAGGACAGCCCAAAGCAAATACTATGGTTTATTTTCATTATTTTTTTTTTGCATCTTAATGAATTTATATGCCTCTCTGAGAAGCTGCTCTTGTATTGCTCACAAACATTTAAGTGCTGAAGAGAGCCCCTAGTTTTCTTTTTGTCAAATTGTTCTTCAAGAACATTTTCAAGAATAAAAAGGTTGGTGTCTTGAAAGACATACCATTAGAGTGCTATTATATAGCAGATATTGTAATTATCTTCATATGTGCAAACAGGGCATGAAAAAAAGCTGAAAATAGGGGCTAGTTTCACAAAAATATGTGGCTATAACCCAAAAATTTGTCTAAATATTGATGACCAAAAATTGAGTGTATGTTCACCAAGATGAATCAGTAGTGGTCCTATTAAAAGAAATATTGCGCCTGTTGTTTTATAACGGAAAGACAGTTAATTTTGCATACCAATATGATATCTTTTTAGATGGAACTATTTAGAGTTTAGCTTGAACCGAAGTGGACCTTGTTTTTGGTCTAAGAGTTAATAAGCCTCATTTTCGGGATATAGCTCTCTTGTGCAACTCGGTCTCTGCTACCCAAATTAAGATTTAGCCGATCATGCTACGTGTATTGATGATAATGTTTGGTTAAGTCATTTGCATGAAACCAACTCTTGATAAACATCATCAACTTAAAAAAGGCTATATGAAAGAGGTATATATCTTATTGTGTATTTTATAATACAGGGGTTTCGATTCGATTCGATGTGGAGACTATCCATCTTAATAAAGACGATGTATATGGTGAGGGAATTTAAAAAATAATGAATAAATTTATCATCTGTTCTTGGACTGACGTGTTTTTATATAGAATGCTGGTTGAATAGTTAGAATAAAAATAGATGTCAGATGTCCAAATCAGGAACGCAGAAGGGCAAGCTTCCTTCGTGGCCCACCCCCTCTTCCTGTTGTGCTGTTGTTCACCTAGTGAGACGTGCGATCGACATTTTGCAGGGTAATCAGAATTCCACTGTCCAACTTGTTACTGAGAATTGAATCTCATAAAAACGACGGCAGTTCATATCAAGAAGCGTCAAGAGTTGGCAACCCTTATCTTAAACTCTCTATAGAGCCATTACGGCATTGTGTAGAAAGAGAGGGTGACTTGGAAAAAAACTCACGAAAAGCGTTTTTTGAACGCTACATTATAAGTCATTGAAAGTTGGCTAACAACAAAAATATCGCCATGAAGAAAATCTTTTGACGATACCAACAAGGTTGTCGCTGATTTGAAAGAAACCTGTTTTAAAGCGCCACAATTGTGTTGTTTTCTTAATATTTTTAATATATAGGTTATTTATCGCACAATTAAGATTTCCTTTTCGTAAAAATCGTCCTCGACAATACACGAATGTTTTCTAGCGTGTTGGTCCATTAGACAACGCAAGCGATAGAGAGGCCAGGCAGCTAATTTTATACAGATAATGGGGTGCTGATTGCTCGTGGCAGAAATCTGATCCCTTACATTGAAAGTGTCATTCACTTTCTTGAAAAAAAAGAACTTGCGCTTCAGAAACAAAATCAGAATGCTTTTGAAGTGATCGCTGGTTCAGTTACTTGGTTCCGCCATTTGATTATTATGACTTTTAACGTGTATTTTAAAGGTGTAACATGATCCAAGGGAAATGAAGGACCAGTGTTATTGTTTGGGCTTTAGAGGTTTACTGAAATTAATTCCCTGGAGAGTAACATTGTTTTTTTACGGGTTAAATTAAACTAGTGTTGTAAGGCTTTTAACAAACATAATTAACGGTGGTTAATTCAATGGATCTCTGCTGACAGAAAGAAGACATTGGCCAGATTTTGTTTAATATCTCAAAGAAAATAAAGCCAAATCTAAACTATTCTACTTTTTGCGCACGTTGATTTCAGTGCGCATTAATGAGTTGTACATAAAGCTTTAAGCCCAACACACACCACGTTATCGCGGCTGAGCTATTAATCTTGAGAGGTCGGAGCTCTCTGCGTCCACCTATTCTAGGTGAAAATTTGATTTTCGCCTCATTCCTTAAAAGTGGAGATGAAAAACCAGATTTCACGGGTGATCTGCCCGTCTTGTTTATAATCGTAGCTCAGCTTCTACCTCTACATGTGTGTTGGGCTTTGAAAAATTCGCCGTGCGTAGTGGAGGCTACCCAAGGATAAATGACTATGTATTTTCTGCGGATTTCTTCAGTTTTCTTTGACAATTTATTTTCATAAAAATACTACTAATAGGGATGCAAAAGTGTACCGTACTAAACGTCAGGGTTTAGAACAAAACTACATCTCCAGGCAAACGACAGCTTGGGGTAAGTCGGCTAAGTAACAGGCTAATTTGTGCTGGCCGTGTAGGTATGAAATTGCTTCAAGTTCCACAAGCTTTCATCGATAAATCCTGCACCCTGTCTCCTTGTGTTTCTGTCCTATTGTTTTTTGGCTTTCCAAAGAGTAAGAGTACCGAGTTATGGGGGAACTTTTAATATGCTTCATTTTTATGTTGTTTCGTAACTGTGATAGACTACACGCGATGCCAGCGTACTCGAAAATGATGTGCGAACAACGAGTTAGGCAATATAATATGATGGATGACAGAAAGGGGGAACACTAATGTTTAAAAACTGCTACCTTTTGCGGATGTATCCTTGACTGCTCTTGCAAGAAACCCACAATCTCGTAATTGTTCTCATGAAGTCTTGTTTGTCTGTAGTATTTAATGCTAGCTTAGTATTTTTTATATCATGCTTTTTTTTTTAATTTGATGAAAGAACGTCGTAATGGAAAACGGTTCATCTAAATAACGGTTTAAGCAATGTAATGCACAAATATGTAACTACCATGGAAAAAATATATAAACAAAACCGTTCTTTGTCGAAGCTACCATTCGTAATTCATTGTGAATCTATGAGATTTTTATTTTTTATTTTTTATTAAGTGCTTAAATGGGTGCCACAATAATTGCTTTTTTTTTTCGATTTCACATAATGAATAAATTCCGAGATTTCCGGTAGTGTATAGATCTAGGTCAAAATCGTGTGCATTCACAATCCACTCGTTCACCCGTAGCTAAGTTAAGCATTATTAATTAACTCCGGAACGGCGGCGTGAAATATTACAAGCCTAACACAAATTCTTACGATTTTTTTCAAACCCTATTTAGACTTGAGGCGCCGGGGAAGGAATGACTGTTGAAACTGCGAACAATGCGTCATTTCTCTCTGGTTGTGCAAAACAGTCGCTTAGTATGCTGGGGAATGGCCGTTGATAATACCATTTGTCTTCAAATTCGACATACATTTGACAAATTTTGCGGGCCAGGTAATTCGTTTTCCGGTGTAATTTGTAAACTGCCACATGAAGGATGCCATTAACCTCAAGGCAGTGCAGAAGACCCCGCCAATTTTTCACTGAAACCATTTGTACCGAGAGTAAGAATTTATTTGCCCAGTGTTTTTCCCCCTTTTCTAATTTTCCTATTTCTGACTTGTTTTCACAGAAGCTAATGATAATTCCTAAATAGAAGGCATCACGAAGGCTTTCACAGTTATATCTGCTGGAAAATAGTTCATCTGGTTCTCTCAGGCCTAATCAAAAAGCCTTGCCCTGTCCAGTGAAGCGCGCGTGGGGCCCATGACGTAATGCACGTGCACACAACGGTTGTTGTTGTCACTCCTTAGGATTATTACTGTGTGATTGGTTGTCACCACTGCCCTGTCCTCATTTTTCACGACACTGACAACATCTTTACTTCCTCTGTCCTGCAGCTTTGCCCTATGATTTTCCTGTCGCAACCGATCGTCTGACCGTCTTCCCGCCATTTTACCAGCGTGATAAATCGGTGGCACGCTCCCCAGGTGTCGCAAGGGAAGTTTTAGTTGATGATCATCTCGTAACACAACACAATAGCTTCCGACTTGATTTTTATCTTGACAGTATCTTAAAAATGATCTTGCGCTCGCCCCTCATCTTTCTCTTAGTCACTAACTGTGGATCCTCTGACGCTATTTCTTGAGCCATTATCTCTTTTCGAACGGAATTCAACGACATATCAATGGCGATAGTACGTTACTTACATAATTGAAAATGGTGAAATGGTCTGACTGATATACTGAGATGATGAAATGATTGGAATTTTGTAGTATATGATAATAATCTATTCCAAATTGCGTTTAAATTACTTCCCTTATCCTTTGTATGCACAGACTGTCAGCGTAACGTAAATCAAATGAAATTGGACCTGGTCGTTTAAAATGAGGTTTGATTTGATGGTGTTTTTTTCTGGATTATCTTCCCAATCATCATTTTGCACGCAAAGAAAAGTATTACAATAATAAGGCAGTGACAAAAAATTCTTCGCCCCAAATTGCTCGTTTTATAGCGTAAGCGCTCTTTCAAACTGCCAAACTTTGAACTTTTTCAATCGCTTGGTTTCAAATAAAACCTTTATAACACGCCAGAGCGCGTTGACACATCAAACTTACCATTCAAAAACAATAAACAGCTCAGTGTGTATTTATTGTGTGCTAATGTTGCCCATTAATTTTGGGAAAGATTCTAAAAAGAGAGCACTAAAATGGTTTTCATTCGATTTTACTTGCGTTGG